TCTTGTCGATCTACTACATTCACTACATCAAACTACACCAAACTACACCTACTACACTAAAGTATACCTTCTACACCAAACTACACCTACCACACCTCCTAAAACGGAACTACACAACACTACACCTACTACACGTACTGCATTTACTACATATACTACAACTACTACACCTGCTACACTAAACGACACCTGCTACACTAAACGACACCTGCTACACTAAACGACACCTACTACACCGCATAATACCAAACTACACATGCTACACCTACAGCACTTTCTCGTCGATTGTATTATAGAACAAGCGTTGTTTTTTCGCCCAGATAGCGTAGAACCTTGTTATATATTCGTGACGGTAATCATGAAATATTACCTCATTGGCTTATATCTACTGGATAAGCCGCCCAAATTTTAAAGATATGCTTTATCAAAATGCATAATAAACATGTTTTACTCTGTACTGAATGGTTAGTTTAAACTTACAGTCAAGATGTGGTTGTCATGAACAAGGCTAAAAACGTACTGTTCTTGGGAACGTTTATTGTTTCGGAAAAGTTATCAAACCGTGCGAGAGGAAGAATGACGCAGAAATCACTTGTTTTTAGTGTTGTTTTATTTCTTTGTTCTCGCCACATATTTGTTAGACTCTGTACTAACAATATTAATCTTCTAGTTTGGTATGAAGCGACCGAACTGTTGTATTATTAGTCGACGTCACTGAAGCACTATATTATTTATCGCAATAGACAACAAGAGATTCGAACTCGGAGTACAGATGTCAGGTTGAGTTGTACTGACTGGGGCCAGCTTTAGAAGATAACATGGAATACATTTTGTAACGAACATCATTATTTGAAAATTCAGTGTCAGGTAAACGAATTCTGTTTTTGCGCGCGAGATTGTTTCGTGTTAAGATATGTACTGATGAATTTGATTGAAAGGTAAATTGCAATAAAAGGTTTAGTGAAATTTTGTAAGCGTGTGACTGCAATCAGAGAGGCGATATATTTATAGACCCAAGACGACTTATTTTTTACGGGTACAATGAGCGCCATTCGAGAACAGTGAAACCTTGACCATCGTTTATAATGGACAGTAATCAAGGAAAAAAAAATACAATACCAGAATTTTTGTTTCCCCGAGTGTGGGAAGTTGAAATGAGAATGATAAAGACTCTATTCAAAGAGGTATAAACCAATTAATGGTAAAATGAGTAGGTGAGTTTTCTTTTCTGCTATCTAATCGAATTTTAGATTTTTTTAGGGATGGTTTAAGTTTTCCTATAAAAAGCATCCCTTTAATTAGGCAATTAAATTTGTCAGAACATTTTAGTCAGGAGGTGAAATTTTTCTGAAAGACAAGGTGGTACTTTCGAGTTATGTTCGCTAAAATATTGTTTACAAATTACCGACGATTTTTGTTTGTGGCTACCGACGCTTTCGTGGAGGTGGCTGCGAGTGTAATCAACATATCCTGCGTCGCACAGGTTACATTGAAATTTATAACAAGACATTGTTGATTAACAGTGGCTGGCTTGATCTCTCGAGCTTTAAGGTCTTCGTTGAGTTTTCTGCTGATGAACACGGGTTGAATCGTGGTCTTGATTTTTGCGCTGAGGTCTGTGAGACGTTTTTTTTTCCCTATGCTAGCAGAGATCTGATCTTTAAATGGTATGATAACTCGGATGGGTGGTGTAGTCGTGTCGGTTGATGTAATGTGCTGCTGGTCTGCTACCTTGGAATCTACCAATTGCTTGACAGCCAGATTGATTAATTGCCCCTGGTACTTAACAGCAAATGTGCCCAAAAATCGAACATTTGCAAAATGTGTTGGCAACAGCCAAAAAATCGATTCGGCTCATATTCTCAGGTTAGGTTGGCCCAAGAGTGAAACAAACCACTTCATACTTCGTTTGGCTGAATATCGAATTATTTTCGAGAAAATTCGATAAGAACTGAGTTCCGCCAAAATGTGGCAGTTTGAGGCTCAAAATTTCAGAAGCATCTCGGAGCTTCGAGTCATAAAATGGAAAAACATGAATTTTAAAAAGTACCAAATCTTGAAAAACAACATCAAAAAATATGTTGATTGCAATTCTTGACCATTTATTTACACAATCTAATTGAATTTATCCGACCTACTTCCAACTAGATCAAAAATAGCTCAAAAGTAGCCTGTGATTTAACTATGTACTATACAAAATAATTAACCGGAAATCTGGGTTTCGGAAGGTGGAAGGAAGTTCTTTTGGATCTCCAAAGGATTTATTTGGGAAATGATTCAGGGTGATTTAATCAAATTTTCAAGTTGGATAAAATGCACCGATTCGACCGTGTCGTATATTAGTCGAAAATGTACACATACTCACGCAAACTCAATTTTTTCGCATTTTACGTCCAATATACTGCCTATTGAATATAATATACTATTACCTTCCATGTTTCTGAGGATTTCAGTCCTGAAATTGATGCATCGTCCTCACAATATCGATAATACTTAGAAGGATGGTCAACGCCTCCTACCAATGTTCACAAAGCGTATCTCAGGGTTTTTTATTTGAGGTTTCTCTATCCCCATTTTGTTGTAAAAGGGGCTGTAATTACTTCACGTAAGAGATCTTTGCTTAAATGTTAGTCTTTAACCGAACCACGAACCAAATGTAAGCGGAATTTTGCTCGTTCAGAAACGTGTCTCTCGTGGGCGGAACAACGCTAATTAATTCAAAATAAGACCCACTGAAATTGACAACGTCGCAAAAATAGAACATTGTACTCTGAAACACGTGGCTTCAGGAACTTAATTAGGTCTTGTTTTAAATATACGAAACATTTCGTGATTAAATGTATCACAATTAAATGTATAATGGTATTTTATCATGGTAATTTATCATGATATGACAAATATAACATTTGTGAAATCGCGTGCCAGTCCAAGTTGTCAACGTTTTCAGTTGGGATCCTACGGGAGATCTGCATCGCGCTTGAACTAGACGTTTCTTCAATAACCAGCGAGCGGAAGCAGCCCTAATTAGATATTTTGCAAGAATTGGTTGAAACTTGGGGTTGTAAAAGTATGGACTAAATATGCAATGCAAACCCTGAACTCCCTACCTGCGAAAAGACCCCCGCCCTGTCTGTAAATCTAACGGATTACTAATGTATCTTGCTGATCTGCTATAGCTAAACAGGGAAGTGTGTTCTAGGCCGTCCATGAGATGAAGTCATGTACTTCTTACATTTAATTAACTTGGAAGGGCAGATAAAGCACAACATGGGCTTGCTTACTCTTTTTTTTTTTTTTTGCTAGCAAAATATAAATGTTAGCTTTTACGCAGTAATCGTGAAAATTCTGTTTGGATCAGACGACAGGCCTATAATGTGTCTTTACACATCATGTACACTTTACAATATATCGCCATGTAATTCATTGATGTCATAGAACCTGACCGTATTTGAGGGGGATTAAATGAATTCTCACTTGGCTAGCTTCTTCGACAAGAGTACCAAATAAATTACTAGTTGGGTTGATTCTTTCAAAGCCACTGTTTCGATAAATACAATATCAGCACAATTAACGCTTGACGAGCATGTATTTTACGTTAAGTCCTTAGGCATACCGACCCGCACTCCAGTCTGTTGCTGGTGCAGTGATTACTGTAGGCTTTTATTGAGTTTCGAGATACGCAGAATTAGTGTTTTTAGTACAGAAGTGAGCTTTTGAACCGCTGCCAGTAGTAGATGAAAGTGAATAGTAAGTTGTTCCTAATGCGTCCTCGGTAGGCCATATAGGTGTGCGAGTCTAGAACCTTTGGGACAGAGGGAGTCCGAAGGGGGCTTGGCTAGAACTTTAGATATGACCGCAGTAATTTGCTTTCCCGTTGTAAAAAAATTTGAGTAAATCGTGGAAAATTCTCTTACAGATAATGGTAACACATTGAATAGCTATCTTAATCAGGGAAGTGAGTTAATCGATACTGTCGAATGGTAGAATAATACGTAGTATCCATTCGGTAATCATTAACTCTGCTCTGATCATGTGCAATCGTTTCTTATTCCGCAATATCACTTTAAGTTCACTATCAACCTGAGAACTCGCCTTTGTCATTTAGCCACCCTTTCCTACCCGCAGGCCGCATTTGGGGGGAGGGGGGGGGGGAACACCTTCGTTCCTACCACCGCTCCACTCTGGTTGATATGGTTTAGCTTTTCCGGTAGACTTAAATGAGTATTTTGTTAGATATGTATGATTCTATTTTTCTTAGTGCTTAGGATGAGATAGTTTTATTTTTTGTGGTCGTTATCATATGCCGACAAAAAAATCATTGAAGATAGGATAAGGTCTGCGATCCGTGGGTTGCCATGGTAATGGTTTTCAGGCTATCGATGTAAATACATGAATAATATATCAAAGCCTTCATTTGATCATATGATAAAACATAGAACTAGAAGTTTCTTTTTGTAATATCATCTTAAATGGGTTTATTGATAGCAGTAAAATAGCAAAGTTTGAAAAAATTATTACATAGGAAAAAACTGCAAAAATTGGAAAAAAAGATATAAACTAGAGCTAATGGCTCATTAAACTACAAGACGATGAAAAGGTTCATTTATGAAAACTTCTTTGCGAGTTATGAGAACATCGTTTTGCTTTCATTTAAAAGAATGTATACGATGTAGCATCCCCCTTGCTACAAAGTCTGCTAAGAATCAGATAGTTGTGATACCAATGCAGATGGCCAGGATTTATTCTCTCTACATCTATACCAACTATGGTTGAGTCTATATGTCGTCGTTTTTCTTATCAGCCTGTTGTAAAATATTTGTCGTAGAAACTACTCCTTAATGTTTTGAAACAGCATCTAGTGAGCAGACGTAAATTCCATCATTGTAGACTTTAAAAACGCGCATAAATCACCGAGTAAATCACAGATTAAAGGATATTTTGGCTTAATTCCGACAACAGAATAACTAATTTCTGACTCGCAGAATTTTTAGATCATGAGTTATAAAAGTATATAATAGGAAACAATTTACGATGATGTTTCCCCACGGGAATATATTTAAATTCAGGCAAGGCAAAGTAAACACTCATCAGGAAATCACAATCGTAATCAGCGAGGGATATAACTGGGCCAGTTATACATTGGTTATCACCTCCAAAACAATTCATCAAAACATGTGAAAATCTCTATACCCTCACGAGGAAGCTCTACAAAAAATCCACAGGTCTAATTTTCATTTCAGTCGATGTGGGAACGTTTCCCTTGGGACTTTTTTTATCTAAATTTCCCCAGTAGATATTGGCCCAGGTTTCATTCCCACAACGCGGATAAATTCCGTTGAGATTTGACAAAACAGCACAATAACTACTGTTGCCATACCACCAGCCTCCGCCTCTTCTTTGAGAGCAATTAGCAGGATCTCTATCCCAGGTACCAAAAACGAAATATCTGTGATGACCAAGAGGATCAGTCGCACCTGTTCCAAAATAGATTAAGTAAGTAGCATGATTTCAAGATCAAGATAGCACTTTGGAGCCTAAAGCCTATTTTTTTACGTAAAACAAACGAACCGACAGAACAAAATTTAACTCAAACAATAGCCACATGCTGTTTCGATTAAATTAGTTTTTCTTAGCATCATATCGTGCTGATTAGATTAAGAGCCCAAAGTGCCTCGGGGAAGGGGAAGGGGTGAGCGCTTATTCGAGGAAGGAGCTTATAACGACAGGGTGCTATAATTCGTTTTTGAGAAACAGCAGAATTGTAAATAATGAAAAAAAGCTTTGATGTTTATTCGTAAATAATAGAAAAGACTGGAAAACGGACTCACTCTGTCTGGATCCTTTCTTGCTAGAACGACTAACCAAGCAATCATCGAGAAATTTTTAAGACGGGATCTTTCAATGAAGGAACCGTGTACTCTCAGTGACATCATAGTTGAGAGACTGACACGAACACTATTTTTTGGTCGTAAGGCTTTGAGTGAGTAATGAATATGGAAGATAGATCAAGGCTGATCTCGATGTAAACGTACTCCAACAGTACTAGTGCTATTATTGAAACAGAACAGGGGATTTTCTTAGAATAGGGCCCTTTGTGGAATGGAGGTGCCTATTCTGTAGGAGCGCTTATTAGAATAAGGATGCCTATTAATAAAAACGAGTTGGAGGGCCTTAGAGAAAATCCTTAACACTGACTAAGTTTTATTTTGTGGAGTAGGGAAAAAAATCGAAAGTTTGATAAAAGCTCACAAATAAGGTAACTGATCAAATTCTAATATTTTGCTTGAACCGAGTTCAACAACTGTTTATCACCAACAGCCTCGGAAGCAAACTGCCAACGAAGTAGCGTGGACTCAACTGTGCATGGGCAGAATTGATAGGAAAACATAGTTTAATGGTAATTCATAAGGAGAAACAACATTGTTTACAGGTTAAGGTCAGGGCAAGGGGTGGTTAGGGTGGAGGAGGGGGACTCTTAGACGGTATAAGGGAAGTAATATATAACATGAAAATCGCACGATGAATTACTAGAAACGGTTTAATTACTTGCAGTATTGGTAATGTACAGCCGGTACTTAGCCATCTCGGTCCCAATCCCAAACCAGTCATACTCAGCGTGAACAGTTTTGCCAGTAGTCACTCCCAGATCTACTCGAAGCTTGTTATATGGCTTGTTTCGCGTCAGGCGGTTTACCTTGTCCAGGCCAAGCCAAAATTCACCGACCAAGTTACCAAAGCCATATTTGTAGTAATTCCAAGTGCGGTTAAAATCAACGGAGCCATTTAGTCTCTTCTGAAATACTGTCCATCCCCCACCGGCTGTTGTTTGGTCACAATATACATTAAAGGCACCTAAACCATCGGGGTCGATTGTGTAAACGCCGCTGACTCTTTGGCCTGATTTGTACAGCTCAGCACAGTCTTTAGCTGATCAAAAACGACCAATAAGAATTAAAATGAATAAATGGTAATAAAGGTATCAACACATATAATCGCAGAGAATCTTACTTACGTCTCGCCAATGTTTTGCTCTCCATGAGAATTTTAACCTCAAATCGAGCTTGAGTGATTTGTTTCATTATCTCTTCTAAGCAGACTGCAGTGTTCTTTTTGCAATCTATTGGGGTTGCATGCGTTGATGCTTTGATTTGAAAAGTCACATAAAGTGCCAGAAAGAGCATAACAGAACCTAAAGAAAAGAAATCTGATGAGACGGTGAAAAGTTACTCCCTAGGATAGATCCAGGATTAGTAAGAGAGTTCGGATAAACATCCGCCGAAGGCATACCTGCAGTCCTGGGAGGAGGAGAAAATAATATTAAGGTATTTGAAGGTTACTAATGGCAGATGAAGGTGGATGTAGCTAAGTAGAAGATAGCGGGTGAATGAAGATGAAAATGAAGATAACTGAGAGAGGATAAAGGACAATGAACGTAGATGAAGGTGGATGAAGATAGAAGAGGGTAGATGACGGTTTTTGAAAGTAAAGGATGGTAGATGAAAGTAGGCAACGGTAAATGAAGGTATATAAAGGTAGATGGTGTTAGATGAAAGAACATAAAGGTAGATGAAGTCAAATTAGATAGATGAAGGGCGATGAAGGTAGAGGAAGGTAGAGACAGGTAAATTATGGTCATAGAAGGTGATCAAGGCAAAACTATGGTAGATGAAGAAATGTCAACGTAGATGGAGGTAAATAATTGTAAATTTAGGTTGGTGTAGGAATACGAGATTTAGGAAAGGAAAAAATGCTGAATCAAGGTAGATAAAGGTAGAGGGAAAAAAAATAAGGTGGATGAAGGTAGATGAGGCAAGTAAAGACAGAGAAAGGTCGATAAATCAAAATGAAGGTCAATGAAGGTAAAAGAAGGTGAATTAAGTGAGGTAAAGATATATTATGAAAAGTGAAGATAGACGAAGGTAAACGAAAGTATGTGATGATAGATGATGGTAAACAATTGTCTTTGAAGGTAAACTGACCGGGTTAATAAAGGACGATTAAGGCCAATGATGGTGTATGAAGGTAAACGATGGTATTTATTTAATGTAAATGAGGTGCATGTGGGTAGAGGTATATAGGATGGTAGAAGAAGGTATATGAACATAAGTAAGCGTAAATGAACATAGATAAATAAATATGAAGGTAGATGAATGGAGAAGTGGGCATATGGAGGAAAATGAGTTTATACTTTATATAAATAGGAAAATTATATAGCAGTACTCTTTGAGGGTGTATGACAGAGATCTCTCTCGCTCCGCCTATATGTTTCTGAAACATAGGTTTTGGAGCACGTTACTCGGTTCTAACGTCTGAAATCTTTTTAAATGTCTGGGTTAGGGTTTGGGTTTAGGGTTAGCCTTATATGGCTCGACAGAAAAAGTCACTCCGATTTTTGTTTGCTTTTAAATGTATATGCTTTCTTAGAACTAAGTAATGGCGCCCGAGAAGAAAGAGGGAAGAAGAAGAAAAAAGGATGGTAGATTATCAAGCCCAATAACAAAGACGGAACTACCATTTAGCGTGGATTTTATAACCTCGTGTACGGCATAGAACTTTGACCCAGAAAACAGAATAAGTGCCATACTCCTTTGGAGAGAGAAATGAAGGGGACAGAGAGCGTAATTTAGAGGAAAAAGAAAAAGGAGCAGGAGGCCCGTTTCTTCATCAAAATTGCAAAAGTAATTCCTTAAATCTAACTGCACCAAAATCTTCCAGATTACAAAACGAGGATTTCAGGACAATAGCCATCATTTATTTTGTAGCAATCTTCATGAATGCCAGTATATCTTTTATAACAACAATAAAATGACTGGGAAGGACGAAAACATGGCATTTAATTTGTTCTTACACTTTACAAAATTCGGCACGAAGGACCATAAAAAAGCCCTATACGCTCATAAGTGTAAGGGGAGCCATTTTAAAAGACTGACTAAAGTATGTATGTTAATCTAGCTTGCTTTGACTCGATATTGACTTGTCATTGCCATTGCAGAAGCAAATTAGAAACTTACTGTATCGCCAACAATTTGTAATTAGAATTTGTTAGGTGACGTTATACACATGATTACGCAACTTGAGTCATTTGCTAGTAGGAGGAATTGCGAGAAACTGCGAGATACCACTGGGTAAATATTTTTGTTTGATTGTAAGGGATGACTGTTTATTATATCACTAACACAATTTGCTATAATTTAGATTTTAAACCTTATTCAATCTCCCTTGTGAAAAGTACAGTGATTGACAGAAAGCTGGTGTAGTAAATGGAGTTGTTTAGAACCGTGGTTAATTAATCCTCTCCGAGCAAAGCACTTACATAGCTCACTTCTAGGCTGCAGTGCGGGCACCTTATCCGGGCAAGTTAATTAACGTTACGTTATTCGACTGGCCATGTTTGAATTACGCTACCGCACGATCGTAGAAGCAACAAGAAACTGCTAAACTTCGACTGGCAAAAACTATACCTACAATGCAGGCTAGCTCACTCTAATACAATATTTTCATTTAAACGATTAATCAAGCCGATTTGGGAACTCGCAAATCGTGCTGTACAGAACACTTTAGAAAACAAAGTTATAGCTAATCACAAGCGTGAAGGTTCGACTTTACTAGATCAGCCGGCAAACTGTGCTTTATCTGAACCAGCATAGAAAACCATTACGCAACCTCTAGAGTTCAACTTCTGTCCCACACCGATTGATGATACAGAGAACGAGAAGTTTTGAATTATGCAAAAATGAAGTCTTGCATGCAAATCCTCATGGTATAGCACGGTTCCTACATCTGTTTGCCTCTTTAAGCCTAAAAGCTCTCGCATTAAATGAAATTATGTTCCACACAAAGCCCTACATTTGAAAAATTAAGATTTAGATGGAGCGCAGTGTTTACGGAAGTTTATATAATAAAGCAAATTGTACACCAAATAGCCTTATGTCACATACCTTTTCCTTGTTGAATAAAACTCATTGTTATCTAATTTAAGTGTATTCTTTGTATGTATGCGGCCATACACAACCGAAAAGAAAATGAGAAATTCTGCAGAAAATGTTGGCGGCAAGCTTTTAAGGACTAACAGGACTCCACCTACCTGATAGGAGTGCGTGCTCGTACGTTTTCTACGAATAATCTCTTGTCTCTGCCTGGTGACCCTGACCTCCTGCATCGTCGGAGATACCAGTAATGGTATCAATGTTACAGAGAATGACAGTGACGATATCCCCTTAGGATGCTTATTGTGAAATACTTAAGAGATAACGCGAATGTAAAGACAGTGAATGAGTTGCCAGTAACCGGACCCTTGTGTTCGGGCTAAGATTTCTGGGATCGCTACCGGGCAAACAGACTGTAGAAAGAAATGTATGGCGAAAGGCAGTTTCGATGGTCGAAAAAACGATTTTGATAGAGATTAACGCTTTTTCGCCGCAGTTTTATCATAGATGGATTGCGATGATTTTTAATACAAGGTAGATGTAAGTTATGGTGGAAATTATCCCGAAATATGTTATAAAATATACCGATTAACTTCTCTCCTTGCGTAAGGTCTAGTAAACCAGCTATTCGCTGAATTGGGCTACCCTGTATAAATATTCGTAAATATATTACAATATTTATACCTCTGAAAATAAAAACAGAAGTTTTAAGTCGCTTAAAAACTTGGTAAATAACGGACTCAAAGATATTAAGCGAGATTTGAGTCGTTGTGGGAGCAAGGCAACCAATTGTTTAACCAATTCATTTAATCATACGATGTTAGGTTTGAAACGCCCCCCCCCTGCTTTTACGACATTTTCTAGTAAAAATCAGTGGCTTTAGTTTCAGTAGAACTTGATCAAATATATCGAGCATTGGTTAGGAATTTGCGGTTCCATGTTTGCTGAAAGTTAAATTCGTGTTTAGGGAATGAGATGTAGTAAAAAACATGTAGTACACACATTTCATGTAACGCCTTAGACATAATCACGCCACTCGTAACGGCCGTGATAGTTATCCTGCAACCGCTACGATCAGAGGATGAATCAGCTACAGGTTACCATTTGACTACCCTTGGGCTAAACGTTCTGCTATCGTCTGTGCGAGTCGTCGCCAAAGTAAGTTTCATATATTTTGCCTTCATTGTTATTATTACCAAATTGTCTACTCTTTGTTGTCGTGATTGAGATACATTCAGTGCCAGTAGTTTTAGTTCAGTTTTCTATTATTCCACTACTTTGAATGAAATGTTCTCAGCACTCTTTTTTATGTTGCGACTTGTTTGTTACGTTTATTAATTTTTTTTTTTCTTTTTTTTCTGGAAGCCACCTTATAAGTCGTCAAGTACTAATTGCTATGTCTGTTACACGTCTATGTAGCTGAATACTTTATCTTAGTTGTACTGTGGTTATTTTACCGTTTCAGTTCTAGCTTATACATCTACCTACACTATACTACACTACTCTTCCCTAATTTGTCTACTCTTTTGTACCGCAATTAGTGATAATCAGGAGCTTTTAATATTCGCTAATATTGGACACTTAAAAACAGCTTGATGTCATATTTATCATCCTAATTATTTTCTTGATAAAGAACAGAGAAAAAAAAAGAAAATCTTCTCAGAAATATCTTTTTGTAAGGTTTGCAGTTATTTAGACTGACTGAACTCCGTGAAAATTAAATGCTGAGTGCAGTCACTTTATATTTCTAGTTACCTGGTCAACCGCCTCCTTTGCACTCCTCACAAAAGCTGATCTCTTTTGCTGTCAAATCATTTTAAGGTAAGAAACTTTTATCGTCAGAGAAAGAGCTTATGCATTGATTTTATTTAGAACATAGGCGAAAGCCGTGACTGATCTAATGATCTAAGATGCTCCATGTTTCAGCCGGTTGTTGATGAATCATTTCCGAAATGGGACCAAAACGCGGGCACTATTATGCAAACTGATAAATTATTTCCATTCTCAAGCTTTAGGAGCGTGTCCACGAAAAAAAGGGCGTAACCGGGTAGGGGCTATATGCTAAAATCACCGATTTGGCTCTAACTTGGCACAAATGCTAAGTATCATTAGTTAACAAATGTTTGAAAATAATAGATCAAAATACTGACTCGCCATTCTTATAACAGAAGCTAATTAAAAACTGAATCTATTCACCACAAGGAAACTTTTACAATGACAGGATTGAACAAGCTGATCGAGTTTGAAATCTAATTGAACAGAACTCAGAAGAAGTTTTATATCTGACATTTAGATTTTACCTACCTATTCCTTGTCGTATTCCCCTCATTGTATTTTTGCTTGTGTTGTTTGCAATGTTATTCACAAAGGCTGCAAAAAAAAAAAAAAAAAAGAAGAGAAAAAAACAACAACAACAAAATTACTTTGCGATTAAAAGAAAATTAAGCACCACAACTCCTCAGAAAAAGTGTAACGGCAAGGACTGATAGGACTTACGGTTAAGTTCACTTCTCTCATCTAGTCACTCTTGCCGCCTGCCTTCTTCTGTTCTAATAATTTTTGCGACGAAAAGAACGAGAAAATTAACATGTATATCGAGGAGTTTATTGGCTCGTTCCACGAAAAGACGGAGGATTATCAACCCTCAAGCTTAAAATGCCTTTAGTATCGAGAAGTATTTTGATAATTCTTCCTTGTCGGTAGTGTTGAATCGTTTCTGTCGGCAAGGCAGTTTATATGGTTTACACCTTCTATGATCGATTAATGAAATCCCCTTAAGTCTGTAATAAACATAATGTACTAAACTCCTTTAGCTCGAGGTTTTTACAAATCAGGACCACCTAAAGTCAATGCTAATTCCGATTGCCAAAAAGGCAAAATACCTGTAATTACATGACATTTGCACCACTTTACGAGCGGAACTAAATGAAAACCTAAAGCTAAGTAGTTTTATTAGGGGATATGAGTGTTTGCACGAAATAAAGTATCGGGGGATAAATTTCATAGCCAAGAAACATTCAACGGCACATGGAAAAAAATATAGGAGAGAAGACTTAAACTGTGTTCGTGTTCGTTTAAAAATTCTGAACTCAATTACTTGTTCTATGTGAATGAGTGACGAGTTACAAACTTGTCGTCACACGTATCTGATTCAATTTGTAGAACTTTAAGCTTTTCCAGAGGGCTTTGCTCATTCAGAAATGGATGTTCTATGTTGTCACGAACAGAGGAAATCAGCTTCGAGGTTGCTCGAACACATTTCGTGACTGTACTTTTTCCCCCAAGTTCTGGTATAATGAATGAATTTCGAGGAAAAATTTGCCAGTAAACCCAAAATTTTAAAAGTAACTGGATATACCTTTTTGAGAACATAAAACCCTAACGTAGGCGAAATGTTTTTGATATTTAGGTGAAAGTTCAAAGAAGCGTATCATCGCATCTCCTGCTGATGAGTTATAGTGAAAGCTGATAACTCTAGCTACGGTTCAAGTCCTTAATCGCTCGCTTTGGCATTTTACCATAAGTATTCGTTTTCTCAACGGAATTGTATCCCAATAAAATCAGACTGATTGAATGAAATCAAGACAGTTTAGGGAATAACTACATAAATGGACTCCTGAAATTTTGAATGAATCACGTATGGCAAAGATTGGTTCAAGAAATATAAGTTGCATGCCACTGTGACAATGAACAGGCAGCGAACGAAATGCTCAGGAGTATTGGTTAGTTTGGAAAAAAGTTGAGTTTATCTTGAAGATGCCTAGTTTCACCTTTGCATTGTAAATCTATCTGCATATTGAGAGTTAGTATACTGCTAGTGTAGAGCTAGTATAGTATAGTGCTTAAATCCACAGAGTTTGAAAGGCCTACTTGACCAGTTAACAATCTAACTGTAAGGACTGAAAGGACTGAAGCATTCGTTCTTAAAATCGTAGACCAGTCAAAATTCGAATCAGGTAAATATTCCATATCTTTATAACTTTAGGGAAGCCATTTGTATAAAATAGTTATAGTTGTTGATCTAGCTTTCCATTTACTCCACATTGACTTGCCATTTCCATCTTCCCAAGCAAAAAGGAATTTAAGCATAAAACAAAGTAGCTCACTTTAAAATAATTTTTTAAATCAAGCGATGGACCAAACCGTTCGAGTTTGGAAATCCAATTGTACAGAGCATTGAATAGAAAAGAAAGTCATGGGCTACCACGAGCTTGAAATGTGTGAGATAAACGGACGCTTTTTTTATTCTAAAATACCATCGAAAAACGTTCCGAAACGATCAGAGTTCGACTTCTGTCCCGTCCCTGTAATGATATATACTGAGATTTTCGAGAGTTCTTGCTATTTGCAAAGTTAGTGAGTATAGCGTGCAAACCCTACGGGGTAAGAATTGGCACGACTCTAAGCCACTCAAAATTGAAAAACAGTAGCATTAAATGACACGACTGTTTCAAGGAAAGTCCTATATTTAAAAAAGTTTATATGAATAAGTGGTAAGCACTTAAGACTCTCGTGATAAACTGGAAATTGTATATCAAGCAGTCAGATTTTACATACCTATTCCTTGTGAGTATCGAACTGTAATTATTTTGGCGTAATTCTTTGGATGCACGCACCCTGGTGCTAGAATAGTAGTTTATTGACGACGACCTTAGTGGTAAGCTCTTATATAGGCTGCGAGAACTCTACCTACCGCTGACTGCGTGAGCATAGTTTTATGCACATGTCATAATTGTCAAGTCCTTCCCTTATCGCCAGAGACAGCACTAATGGTATTTATTTTATCGAATGGCCGTCATGAGGGTCCCGTTCAAAACTGCTTATTCTCTTAACTATTCTTCGGTAACTCATGTCCAGCGAGTCCATAAACACTGTAAAATATATTTTAACTTTTCATTCTACAACATGAGTAAAGGAAACTGAATTTCTATTGAAACAGGCATTTCACTTCCGTGGCAGTAAATGACGAAATTCCTAATTGGATAACACATTTTTTTTAAGAAAAGATGAAGTTCCTAATTGGATAACAAAAAATCTTTAGGGCTGACCTCTATTTGAATACATCATGCAAGGACGTGAGAACTGCGTATTGCGTTGTGCATACAGCGTAGAAACAAAATTCGTAATATATTTCGTTGTCATGCAATAGGATATGTTAATATTTCTATGTCTGAAACCATATAATAAGGCATACTTTCGTGTAACCTTTCGAGCCAATACACAAAGCCACTTAATGAAAATAGTTCCTTTCGTTAAATATTTCCAACTGATCAATATCTCAATGGAGCCATTGCAAAATACGTCACTGGCCTACAAATGATTGGTTTTCTTTCGCCAGTTGCATGAATAGCTATGATATTGCTGTGAATATGTTCCTTCTAACACAGTTCGTTATTGCATGATCAGGGGCGATTAACAGTCTTAACAATTATCGTTAAATCAAGGAAATAATCTTATCTGTTACCATTCATTTACAGATTATAAACTCTTGACTAAAGACGACAAACATCGGCTTGTTTTCAGTAGCCATTTCCCAGGTCACCTGAAACTATGTGAGTTGGCAAAGTTCAACACAAATTAAATTAAGTTCATGTCACCAACTGAACCAGTCTGTAATTTATATCACGTACTGAGAGAGAGGATTTAGACGTACGGTAAGTAATCTAGTGGTCCTTTTCGTCGCTCTTGGGAAAAAAAGACGGAACATTACGCGTTTCACAATCTTGGGAGCTTTTCTTCGTAAAATTATCCCCTAAGAGACCATTTCAGGAAATTTTACTTCCTTTCAAGCTTGGAAATGCAAAGTATTATGAGGCTATAGGAAACACCTTATGCATATCTTGCCATATAGCTATATATTGATTTTGGTCCTCTCAAATTACTCTGACGAACTACGAATTAATCGAATGCAATTTTATGTGGCGACGTTAAAACACAGCCACCAATTGTTTAATCGATTCCATTAGCTCACACAATTAAAACCAATGATTTACAACTAAACTACTTAAGCAGCTTGTCTTCACCCTCCTGCCATTAAGCAGATGCCACAGATACCTTGGGGTTCTGTTTATTGATTGTAGAGAGTTCTCGTCCCTTTAGATGTTTCAAAAGAAACTTTAATGCCTACCAATTGGTTATTAGTTTTGATATAGTGAGAGCACTTTTCTTATGAATACATGTAGGTCATGGCATACTCAAATTAAAATGCACTGAACTGCAATGACAAGAGAGCCATGCAATCACACCATCAATAAATCAGTTAATCAATTGATCCATCCATCGATCAACAAGGTCAGCGTGTTTGAGGAACTCCTTCACTCAACTGTTAAACAACAGAAAGGACTCTAACTGGCCTGTTTTTATCGGCGATTAAAATAGTTCGCGAAGATTAGAATAAGAGAGATAAGTAAAGTATACAGAGATAAGTAAAGTATAGAGATAAGTATAGAGATAAGTAAAGAATAAGAGAGATAAGTAAAGTATACTTTTTATCTGTATTAATGGCTGATGACAGACATATCTCAGTGCATGATGCAGCATCGTATAGAAGGGATACCTCAGTTCATGTCACATTGTAGTAGTCATTATAATGTATTTAAAACACGAAAGGAACTGGGGTCACCCATGTAATATTTCATAATTCTGGACGCTGACACATTATTTTATGAAAAGTTCTTCAGTTGAAAAATTAATCATAAGGATCAATGCTCAGCGTTTGCGTAAGTCTGTACATAATCTGCGAGTTGACTTAAAAAAAGCCAAGAGTCCCATACCTAATTGTTATTGATCTCCGGGTACTGTATCCAGTGTTTTCTGAAAACGCTTAAGAAATTCATCTCTTTTTTTTGTTTTTGTTTTGTTTTGTTTTGTTTTGTTTTGTTTTGTTTTTTTTTTGAGGAGAGGACCGACAAAAAAACAAAATTAGAACAAACTCTTTAGAGAAATTATTTTAGTACGATTTTACCAAAACTAATAGGACTCTACTTAGTGCTGGGTGCATTCGATCAACTGTGAATTATCTTTTAAACTGCCTCCATTACACTCAGCATAAGAACAGACTAAAGTACATATGATGCTGCTTTATGTACCTGAGAATTCATACCTGCGACAAAAAAAAAGACAATAAACTAACCCCCTTTGGTGACAAATCGTGGAACTTAAGAATTTTTTTAAGGAGCTTAAAGTTTTGATTTTAAGAAGAATGTCCATTGAGCATCTAAATTATCATAATGATAATTTAGATGCTCAATGTCTTATATTAACCAGTCGTTGGTCAGTTATGTCCAGATTGTGGCCTAGCGCAGTTGCATTTTAATAAACAAATTAATTCCCAGCTTTTCTTGTTAATGATTGATCTTTAGCAAGGAAAGCTGACGTTTTGAACAGAATCTCCACTTTTTTTGTACTGAAAGACGACATTCTTAACTCGATAACAACAAATCATAAGGGCTGACCTCTACTTTATTTGAGGAAGGGCAAGTTCATGAGAACTTCATACAGTTTACTGTACAAATTTGAGATATGTTATCGATGTCAATCTTGCCATCCATGATTAAATGGTGAAAGTGTCAGCCTAGTTATCTTCAGAGCTATGGATCAAAGTAATATTATGAATTTCCTATTATCAAATATGTTGAGTGTACTGAATTGCAAAGTACATCATTGGAATTCAAATGATAGATTCTCCTCCATCAGATGCATGAACACGAGACAATGAATACTGCATTGCAAATCAATTGGCATTGAGAACTTCACTCTGATACATTTATCATTACGATTATTATAACCAGGAACCATGTGACTGTTTTACCATTAACACTTGACACTTCATAACAACTTGATGTCATTGTCATCATCCTTATTCCGATCCTTTCCTTTATCAGGAACTCCTAAATGCAGACGACACAAACAGATTCTTTCAACCAAAACAGTTGCTCTTTCTCAGTCACTGGACACAATAATGGAATCCTTGGTGCAGTATACCTTCAATCTCAGAAAGTTATGCCTCAGTGAGCATATATTTTTACTATCTTGTGAGCAAACGGGAAGCAACCATATCGACCTGTTAATTAGAACAATAGAAATTAAATTAAAGGAGTCTAAAAGCGACTTTGTGCGTTAATCAATAGAAGAAATCAAACACTGAAACTCCACACCTTTTTTCCTTAGATATAACTCGAGAAAAAGGTAGGAAAACAAAATGTTGGCAATTTTCCGGGGACTCTGACACTATGCTACCTCAATCAGTTTATATCAATCCATCCGTCAAATTATACATTATCTCACTGAAACAGTTACAGTGCCTATAGCTGTTAAAATCACTACAATGAAATTTTTCCTATAGACGACATTTCTCGATCTTTCCTTCTCCGTTAAGCAGATGCTGTCAGGTCTTTGTCGATCTCGTTTTTTACATGCCATCGTTGAGTTCAGTCTCAAAAGAAACTTCAACAAATTTTTTGGTGGAGGAAAAGAATTACTTTGCAGCTATTTTTTGCATATTTATGAGCGGATGCCTTAGACTACTAACAGTAAGAGACTGAGCACTAACACGCTTCACCCAGCGAGTCGTTTAGTCCGTCAGGCAGTCAATCTATCAACGGATCAATCAATCATTTGAACCCATTGTCACCACCACGGTGTAGTGGATCATTGAAATGAACATTGGTTTTTATTCATTCCCTTCCTTCAGTCTCAATGTTGGTGACGGGTGCTATGGAAAGGAGGGGAGGCATTTAAGATATCTAACCACAAAATCAGATTGTTACCAAACTATTTCTGAGAGCGTATTTGTACATAAAGCGGTGTAGATAAAGTAATCAATTATGACAGAATTCGGCATTTTATATACCTTTTTTTATATCACACCCATTTTGTTGAACCTGTATTTCGCGGTCACCCCCTCATTAATACCCGTAGTGGCTGCTTTGAAAATACAGCCGGGTTCCAAAGTGTGTACTCTCCTTTACGCAGCGGTGGTTAAAAGAGTTCTTCATTTCCAATTATCTTTTACGCGCTCCTTACTCGGACCTCTGGCTCGCATATGAAGAGGAAGACTGAATCATATGCGTTAGAGAAAAAAAAAATTGATAGGTCGATTGACTGACCGACTGACAAAACGAATAAATGACGGACTGACTTATCACTGATTAATTGATTGGTGAGGCGTGTGATTCCTTAGCATCTGATTTTCAGCTCTCGAGTATTTTCCCGGTACCGCAAAAATACGAGTACTCCACTAACATTGAAGTGAAAAGATCTTTTAGTATATTCTAAAGCAGTGAGATAATATACTTCAAAAAGAGGATTTGAACTCGTTTATTTTTGAAACAATTAGAATAATCTCAGCTAGTTACTTAGATGTAAAGACCAAAGGATATTCCGGTTTTAAATAGCCAACCAAAACGTACCTTGGACGATATCTACTTCTTTAGCATATACTAATTATCAACTATATAAATATTAAATAAGATTCTATTTCTTCAGAAGGTAAAACTCATTTACCTAAAGTTATATTCTGTACGTGATAAAATATTAAATCGCTTTATTGATCTTTATAGCTCTGAGATAGTATATTAAAAATCACAAGAAAAGGTTAAAAATGAAAAACATTCATTTGT